TATGTAGTTTAAAGAAAAATCTGTTCTTTTATTATTTGTCCATACGTCTTCTACTTCTGATGACTCATAAGTAGTGCCCTATTGAAAAAGTTGACAACTAACAGGCTGTGAATGATTGCCAGAGAGCTATTTCAAAATGTATATCAAATATAAATAGTAAACAAAGTGAAATCTACCAGCATATCTTTCATACTCCTGAAATGTGAGAAGTGTGATTTCATCCCTTTCTGTCATAATTTTCTCTCTTATGAGATAAAAGGCCTTGAAGAATGCAGGCAGTTCCTGCCAACACTGGCCAAAAGTTTAATCTCCAGTGGATACTAAATATGCACCATCATAGCATATCTTTCAGAAAACAGAATGCCTATATTAATACATTCCCTAACATACTTTTCCAGAGAGTCATTTTGAAAACTAGATTTCTACCAGACCACCAACCTCATAAACACATGGACACCTCGTTAATGTAAAAGACAAAATATGAAACTGAACTGTGATGAACTTTTTTCTAAGCAATTTTGAAATACTAAAGTCCTGTTATCATCTGTTAACTTCTTATCTGCAAATAAGTGCGCATATAACCCCAAATCTAATAAACATCAGATCAAGCACACAAAAAACCATGAAACAAAAAATGAAACCTGATGCTTATAGGAATGGGTAAGAAGAACAAGGAAGGCACTCAACCTCTGTTGCAGTCAAAGTGCCTCACTTTCAGAACCAAATGCTGAATCAACATGCTACAGAGAGAGGAGTGAAACCTCATTTTAGACCATGATGCACATTTTTTGGCTTGTACAAATTGTGAGCAAATTCTGCAAGAGCACTTTACCCCACTATGTATCCTGGTGCTATCCACTGCCTTTTGCTATTTAACACTCAAGTACTTACTTTATCTGCCTTAATCGATGCCAAAGCCAGTTCCTTCTCCTTAATGGCCAACTCCTCAGAGAGTTTAGCAACAGATTCACTGGCCTCCATCAGCTTAGACAGACCTATTAAGTAAAAGATAAAATTCAGAAAAATGAAAACTATTTTTTTCTTAGTTAGATAATAGATAATAGATAATAGCTCTAGATCCCAAATGCCTTGTACCTTGTGTTCTCATTTAAATTTGTGTAAAGGAGAGAAAGTGCCTGTAAGCAGTCATACTATCATGATTGTGCTTACTATTCATTTTCATGGATATAAATAATTTTACAAGGTGCAAAATGATTATAAACAAGCTTGATTCTTCAAAAGATAAATCCATACTTCTCAGTTTTAGTTTGTAATTGCTGTAAACAGTACCTGAAAGTGTATAGCTGGGATATTACCTTTAATAAAATATATCCTTATGCTCATTATATAAACTTAAAAAAAAGAAAAAAAAAAAGGGGAGGGGGGTATGTCAAGCATATGTTGTGCCATAAAGTCACAGGACAATCAGAAAATCAGACTGATACTGCGTTTTTATCATTGCATGAGGAAATGACATAAATATTAAGATCCATAACTGCCTTCCAATAGGGAGTTCTTTCTAGAAAGAAGTGGGAAGAAGTGGAGTCACCAGAAGTAGACCCAAAGGTCACAGCAAGATTACGACCTCCAGCTCCTGCATATTGAGTTTACCCTCTTTTGTCCCTGGTGACAGAGAGTGCAGAAAAGCACACAAAAGCATCTGCACCCACCTGGCTTAGGGCCAGTCCCATCATAGCTCTTATATGTGCTGAACAACCATCCATAAAGGCCGTTCAACCTTACACTAACAGTTGCCCAGAAAGAGATGAGTTTGCTCCCTCTGTAAGTCTTCCCCATGCATTCATGCATTCTTTTTTTCTATCCTCTCTTGCTCATAGATTTGAGCACAGATTTTTGGCTATTCCTGAGCTCCACATTGCATGCTGAAGCCTCTCTAGCCTCTCCTCTCTTCTTCATTATTGAATCTTAAAATCTTACAACTTGCCTGGAAGCATTCCCCTTATCTCCCTCTCTCCCTAAGAGCTAGAGTCAGAGCACCCTTGCAGTTATACTTTTGATGTACGATGTTTCTCTGTGATGTCTCTCCACTTTTCTGTTACCACATTTCACACAGACAAGCATTCTCTCCTAGCACATTTCTTGTTCTTGTGACACAGCTGCCTCATGATCAGGCTACTGCCATTCTACTGGCTTTTTATTATTACTCGCCAAAATACAGGTTATTTTGCCACTCTCAACAATAAAGTTCAAAGATATATTAACTAAAACATGTTTTAGAATGTTACCTTTTCCCAGACATATGCAACTTCCTAAAATACTATGAGGGACAGAGGTACATACACACTAACATTCTACCCCCACCTCCCAGTCTTCTGACAGCAATTTCCAAAATGGTTACTACTTCACTTCACTGTAAAAAAAAGTTCTGAAAGAGAAGCTATGAAAGGGAAAGTTATACCCTTTGCTGCATTAGCTTTCCCTGCTACAATCTTAGAGTGAGAATAAAGAAAGATGGACAAAGAATGGCAATATGCAGAACAAGAAGAATCGAAGAATTTCTGTTATAAACAAGAAACCTTTACAGCTTCTTTACGTCCCCTGCATACTTCTAATCACAAGAAACATTACAACAGTAGCATGCCAGCAGATAATTCTTTTTTAGTGCTTGTAGTCATAAACGAATGACTGATTTAGACATCAGAAACAGGAATAGTATTTTTCAGAGGGATATGTAGAACTCCATGTAAGAACCTTACTGATATCAGCTACAACTTATCTAAAGTAAGTTAAAAAGTCAGCATATATTTTGAACCTATAGAGAGAATCAAAGTAATCTTTATCTCTTGTCAATGTATTTTGTAACTTGTCTGAATGATGACTGGAAAAAAGTAGTGAATATAGAAAGATTACAAAAATCTTTATTAAGATACTAAGCCACAGTACTCTTACTACCTCAAGGATGTAATTTCTATCACTTTTAATCAGCAGAAGATCTAGCAACAAGTTGCTCAAATGGATGACATGCCCACTTTGTCAAAGCTAAACTGAGGTCTTCTTGTAGAACCACAGTACTATATCAAAAGACATTATCTACACATGTGATGCTCTACCAAGGATTCCTCAGATCTATTCTGAGAGAAGACACAAGATGTTAAGCATACAGAAATAATTGTAATTGTCATTGGATCTCAGTTTTTTCCTCATCTGACTTAAAGATTTTTCACCTAAAGTGACAAAGCAGAAAACAGATTACTTCTAGCTTTCAAAATGCATTGCTCGTATAGATACCGCAGTGCTGACAAGCACACTTTCAGTGTGCTCGAGCCAGGGACTTTTCTAGAAATCAGTACTGATCGAGGTATTTCTTAAGTTTTGCTGCTTTACAAGCATCTGGAATTGGCCCAGATGTCATTACATACAGGGAAAAAATTTCAATAAAGAGATGAAAAGAGTGACATTATCTCAGCTGAATTTAATAACATAAAATTTAAATCCCATATCAGGATAATCTCCTAACAAACTGAAACAACTTTCAAGGCTAATCTTTTTATCCTTCTAAATCTTTTTGACATTAAGTGATGAAAGACTAAGGATTAAAGGATGGATGTGTGAGATAGTAGCTAAATAATTGATAAAAAACTGTTTGAGAAAGTTCCTTAGGATGCAGTAAACACTGGAGCACATTTGGAGTCAGAGATGACCAGTATTTTTGTTGTTTGTAATACATCTTTTCTACGCAAGTGAAACTATTTAGAATATTTTCTAACTGGCATGAGTATTGCCCATAAGCTGACAGACATGATTTTCTGAGCATCAATGATATAAAGATGCTGCAGTAGAAGATGTACAGGTACATGGTCATTTTGTTTTGAAGACCACGTAAGGAATTAGCGATAATATCATGTCAGAGGCTAGGAAAATCTACATGTGAAATTTTCTTGACAGTGCTGAAGCTACTTAGGTTACTTCTTTTAAATTATTTTTGAAAATAGAAGGACTGGAAAAAGAATACCAAAAAAACCCCACCCTCAGAAATCTTCAAGGCTCTTAGACTTTATCCTCATCTCAAGCAGAACTAACGGTAAGTTCCGATTTCTAGAACTGGCAACAAATTCATACAGGGAAATTTGCATAACTTGAAAATATTCACTTACTCCTCTAAAGTCCACTCTAATTCAGCAAACAGTTTGTGAATAAAATAAGTATCTACACGTTCTTTTTCTATTCTTTTCTTCATGTGAAATGTACCAGTTGCATTGTTAATCATTGTCTAAATGCTACATCCTTTTACCTTTGTATGAAAAATCTTATCATGTAGAATTCTCTATTCTCTTAGATTGATATACAGCATCTTTTCCCATAAAGACCAAGTTTTCTAAGCTGTTCAGTTGCCTTTGTAGATTTACAAAAGCATGTCTAGATGCAAACCGGAGAAAACTGGAAATGTATTCTGAACCCATTAAGTACTAATCTAATACCAAAAATTAGGTCATTTCAAACAGATATCCAAAATTAGAAGAACATTTCAATCATACTTTTCTGTATTTCAGACCCCTAGTTGTAAGATGACCACAAGTAACAGCTACTTATTCTACAGCAGAAATCTGAAATAAATCAACTGTGAAGCGCTCAGATTGTATAGTGAGAATTTCCATAGACAAATCCAGAAGTAAATTAATAACTGTGTTTAGAGCTACCTCTCTCTACACTAGTAAATCAGATGCTCTCTCTGGCCATTTTCAGGTTCTACTTGCTACTACAAATGCTAAATTGGAAATATTAAAGTTTAATAGAATGCTGAGATGAATGATCAAGCTGGCAGCTTCTTTGAGGCTTTTTTGTAAGAGAATCATTGTGAATTGGTGATAGCTGGAGTGCTTGGAAATGGTCCTCATATGTTACCAGTTTTGAACTGTGATCCAGCAGAACTGATTTTAAGTGATCACTGAATAACCAGGCTAATATTAAAAACACAGATTATTTGAGACCATACATGGAAATATATTTTTATCCCTATTTAGCTTACCAATTTGCATACGTTCAGCTTGTTCATTAATACTCTCTAACTTTTCAGTATAAATTTCTTTGTAGCCATTGATGAAAGAGAGATAGGATTTAGGTGTTACGTAAGATCTTCTTCGATACCTAAAACATAGTATATTGGCAACATCAACTTAGTATATATTTTTTTATATGTACAGCCATTTGATTACTTCCAGTGAAACAGAAGATTATATAAATCAAGTCTTTAATTCAGTCAAAATCAAATTTCTTCATAATGCAAACTATTATTTCCAATTACATTCTCTTTATCCACATAAGCAATGTTAAAGATTGTTGAATAGTGGGAATGAAGATAATGAATTTGCAACATAATAGCAATTACTTTTCATGGCCTTTGCATATATTGGTATAGCAGATTTATTTTTGTATTAGCCTTAAAAGACACTTATTGATTCATATAACACTGAGTTAAAAAAACACTATCAGTAGCAACACTTTTGGAATTAATTATTGCATTTGTATAAAATATTACCTTTGGAAATAATTCTCACAGCTTTCTGAAACTATATCATGAAAGAGACCCATGGTTTCCACAACTTGTGTTTTAACTGATGCAGAGCAGACCATATTAAATTCTGAAAGAAAATAACTGGCTACAGCTACAAGAGCCTCCTTGGGCCATCGACTGAACCAATCCATGGTGCACCCTGATATGAGACCAGGAAATTTCAAAGAACGTGCACGGAACTTCTCACCAACCTAAAGAGAGTTACACTGTTAGTTTAAGATATGATACTTAATTAGGTAGATCAAAATGTTTAATTCACATAAACAACTAAATAGTCTAATTTTTTATGATAATTTTCTGCTTAGGACACCCTGCACAGTTTTTTCTTTTATGTAAGTATTTTGCTAAATTTCCAACATTCAACATTTTAAGAAATTTGAAGAAATAAGTTTGTGACAAGTATGTTTCTTAATATTTTAAAACTTCAATTAACTTACTTTAATGTCCACTAAATTCTTGTTTTCAAGTAACAAGCAAAAATTTCACAAAGATACATTCATTGACTTGTATTAGGAAAGAACATGCCAGAAGAAAAAAATAAAAATTACTATAACATGTAAGGAATGATTTAATTTTTAAGTATTTTGTTTTAAGTTCTGACAATTGTGCGATTACTTTTACTATCTCAGCAATTATAACCAGACTTCAGTAATCTTTTTATGCGTCTTTAAATCTCCTTAAAAATATAAAGCTTGAACAATCCTGTCATACCTTATAGGATAGTTTGCTAGTGGAAGTAAGGAAGACAGATATGAAGAAAAAACTTACTGGAGAAAAGCAGAGGACAACATGCAAGTTCTTCTTTGCCCGAGTTAAAAAATATTCATAAAGATTATCAAAGGTAGGAGGACACCGAGGCATCTCTTTTTTCATCACAGATATTAATCCTTGGGTGATTTCATCCAATTCATCCCGAGCAAATAAATTAGATATCTTTTTATAAAATTAAAATTCGTAAGAAAATAAATTGCATGGATGTAATTATTATAGAGTTTACAAATATTTGTCTGTTTACATCTGTATCTCTCTCGCTGCATATATATTGTTTAGACAGATTAAAAAACAAACCTGTCCCTGATTTAGACTTCATGTAACTCTATTAAAAACTAGGAAGTCTAACTCAGGAAGAGTACAGATCTTGACTGGCCAGTGAATACTCATCTAATAAAGGCTACTGAAATACCCATCACAGCTCCTCATCTTTTCCTAGCTTTCACTGAAATAGAGATAAAGGAACTCCATACCGAGAGCACTCCTTATTTTAAAAGTTGAGATATTTTAGAATTAATCATTATTGATTCTACAATTTATTACCAAATTAAATAGAAATAAACTAGTGGGAATAAATTCTGCAGTTTCCTGCTTCTAAAGTACATTGCCTGTCATGTTGAGACTCTTACCTCGCCTGAAGACAGCAGATTATTAACATATTCCAAAAAAGACTCCTCTTTTATTTCATTATCAGTGAAAATAAAAGTGATGCCTTGTCCTTCTACTCCAGCTGTTCTATACAACAATTTTAAATCATCTGTCAGATTGCTTACATTATAGGATCTAGGAGGAATAAGAAACATTACCTGTTAATTCAAAACAACTGAGAATACTGCTATTTTCAGATTATAGTGTTTTGTAAATGATAGTGCAAACATCCTTTGTAAACACACATATTTTAGTTCAGGAATAGCTAACACATGGTCCAGCTTTTTCAGCTCAAACTTAATCCAATGTTGTATACAAACCAGATCAGAATTCATTGTTTTCCACATTTTTAAATGGTGACAAAATGAAAAAAAAAAAACATAAGGTTATGACTGTGCAAAGAGAAAGCAATAGCAATAGCATAAATTGGATTTACATATTTCTTGCATTTCTTACCTGGTTAAAGTGATCTGAAATATTTTATAGCCAGCAATAAAGGAGGCCAACCTTGAAAGACTTTGTTTTCCAGAACCACCAACTCCAACAAGTAATGCATTTCCATATGCTGTCCGAATTATCCGGGAAATCTATATAGGAAAAAATGGAAGAAAAGCTCATAAAAAAATTTAAATTAAAATATTAACTAGCAAAACTAAAAATCTGTTATACTCTACACTTCATTTACTAGAGCACAATGTAAAGATTATTAAAAGGATACTTGCAGAAAATTTTTCTTCTCAAAAGAACACTTGTACATTCTTTAGGAATTTTGTGTAGCTAATGAAAAAGCTGCACGTAAGAATATAGGATGGTTATAAATAGTTACACATAGGATTTAAATACATAAAGGGAGCCATTTTGAGCTCCATTTTATGTTGAAGGTATGATCCTGAATGTGTTTAAAAATATCAATAAAAAAACTCTAGCTAGAAGAATAAGCATAATACATTCGTAATTTTAAGAGTGTGAAAGACTTGGACACATTTAAACTGTCATTTAGTGTTATCTTCTAGTTTATCTACCTTCAACATTTCCTTTAACATGGTTTTCTTAACAAATCTCCCAGATACAAAAGCTGGATTACAAATTTACTATGTTACTGCTTTTTCACGTCATGTATACACATCACATCTTCCTTGGCTTTATTATATGTTAGTGCACTATTACTTTTAAGATGCTACAGTTTGCTTTGCTCCTCATGTAAATCACGTACAAAATGCAAAAGATTGGCATCTACATCAAGCCTTCCAATTCCATTCATTTTTTCCCTCAAAAAAATTTTGGTTTTATGCACAGTTCCCTTTGAGCCTATCCAGATAACTATATTAAAATAGAAGCCTAAATGTGAAATTATGAGGGTGACTAAACTTACTGTCACCATAGTGACAGCAGGGCTCCTTTCTACTACATAACTGCATATCCCGGATATTCTGGTTAAAACTTGCAATGGAAATGGAGTATCAGAGACTTCAAGGTCTTCTGAAATTCACCTAGCATCACATGAACTGTATTTAAAAATAAAATTGTTTTCTTCTGTTTAAATGCAAAGCAAACAAAATCATTTACTTCACTTGAGGTCAACTAGAGAAGAACTAAACATCTCCTCCTGTTTTGGTTTCACTGTGGCTTCTATGTGTCTTTCAGTAAACAGATCATCAAGTTAAAGTAATTCCTGAGATAATTAACACAACTTCTTAAACCTGAGGCACAGCACTTCCAAAAAATCTCAGGCTTAGCCTTTTTTTTTCCCTTGTGAATTGGATTCTGACTTCAGATTAATTCTTTCCTTCTATCTTCCTTTTTGAATAGGGGTTCAACTGATTGTAAACTGAGACTTTCCTTTACCCTACACACTGATTCTACAGCAGCCCTGATTTATGTTTCTTTTCATGTCTCTCATCCAATCAGATTCTACCTCACATTGTTTTGGTCACTTGTCAGGTACCTTTGAAGTGTTCTCTGAATTCTTGATGATTAAAAATCATTCTATATACAAAATATAAATGTGCCTCTTTATGACCTCACCTTTCCTATTGAGGAAAATCTTCATACCTCTGAATACACAGAAGCTTAAACAAATATATAAAATACGGTATTTATTACAAAACATGCAAACAGGTAAAGTAACTAGCTCTTTTCTAGTTCTTGAAAATGATGAGGCAAAGACGGCAAGCAAGTTTGGGGATATGAGTAGCTTTTCAGAATGTGCCCTCTAAGCATAGCTTGCCCAAATCAGGAACACTGTTGCAACAGTTAAAATAATAAAAAATTAACAAACCCCAAACCTTAATAAGATGTGTCATTGCATCCTTAAAAAACACCAAATCAAGAAATGATCCTCTAATACATTCATTGTATTGTCTCTGATACATTTGTAATTTTTCACAAAGAAATTCAAAGCTTGGAATCTGGGGGGGAAAAAAAAAAATCAGTAATAATACTAGCATGACCCTTCAGAATTTAAAACCGCACTGATATTTTTACACAAACTTGAGTTCATGTATTGGCCACACGTAATGAGATTATCTTGTTAATTCACTGTAGTAAACGTAGTTGTGTTTAAGCAGAAATTTTCTGCTAACGGTGGGGAAAAAAGGTTACTAACCAGAAAAATCTAGATATATCTTCACAAAAAATGTGATAGGTATTCAACAAAACTTTCTGTATGATGCGAGTTCAGCAATATAACATACTTAATAATTAAAGGAAAACTTCAGTGCCTAGTATTTTAGGTGTAAAATTAAATACCTCCTCATAAACTTTTGGTGGTTCAAACACAAAATCTTCTGGTTCATCACCAGTTGGTTCAGGCATCTCCCGTAAAAAATCTACAAAATATGGTTCAGCTTGAAGAACTTCTGTTAAGCCTGTATCCACATTTTCCTCAATTGCTTTCGTAATAGTTTTATCAAACCAGGCTGTATCTTCAGGAGTAATAAATCTAAAAATCATAGATTAGTACAATTTTTAAAAACTGATTTCTAGTTATATAGGGAGAAAAACCGATAATTAAGTACTAAAAAAAAACCTTGTAACATTTCAAAGAAAAATACGTATTAGGCAATACATATTAGACAACAGTCACAGAAATGGATTAGGCCATATTCACAGAAATGAAATGCTTCCATACTCTAAAGTATAATAGACAATCACATAAAACATAAAACACAGAAATAACTTGACTTTCCAGCTTTCACCTAGAACTAGGCAATGACAGACCATTTAATTTCTCAGACGAAAAAGGATGAAAAAGGTTGAATGATTTCCCAAATAACCATGGCTAAGTGACCCTTATCATCTTTCAACCCACAGCAGAAGAGCATAATTTATGTTATTATAGTACTGCCTATGAAACTGCAATGAGATAAGGAATAGTGAAAGGAAGAGAGTATATGTCACTACAACCTAACTTGATTCTCAATCCCTCTTACACCAAAATCCATAATTAACAGAGGGGGATATACACTGGGGGTGGCGAGGAGTAATACAGATTGAAATAAAACAAAGTCTGGAAACACAAATACTAGTGACTACATTTCATTGTTTAAACAACTGTATCTGCTTCCATTGATAGGTTCAAGATGGTTTTAATACAGACCAGGATCTTTGACTACTGTGATTATCTGTGGCTGTGATTATCTGAGAAACAATCAAGAATGATACTGAGTAGTAACTAGTAAACATAAAAGGCAAGAACCACCTCGACCCCAGAAAAAGGGAATGCCAACTGTGAATGTCAAACTACAGAAAAAGAATTTTCACCTTTACTCCTTTTTCTTTTAAGTGATACAACTGAGAGGACAATATGACGAATATGAAAGCTGTACACAGTGCTCTGAGTCTCAAATAAGACAAAGAATACTAAAGAACTGTGGTATAGAGACAGCCTAGATATACATTATATACCTCATTATTGTTAGAGGTTCTTAGTGATGACATTATAATACTAACCACTATGGAATCTAAAAGCAGCATGGAAGAAGAGACTGCATGAGTACACTCTCTCTCTCCCTCCCACTCTCTAATATATAACATATCTGTACAAATACATATCTTCCATGTATTTTTAAATTGCCCCCAACAAAATTAAAAAAAAGAACATTTCAGTAAATGTCAGTGATATTGCTCCTAACTTTAAAGCAGAAAATAATACACTCAAAGCTATATGACACTTTTGCATCAGTGAATATGATCCTAACTTCAAATTCAAATTAAACATTTTCCCCCCTTTTATATTGTCTTGGTTTAACCCCAGCTGGCCACTGAGCACCACACAGCCGCTCGCTCACTCCCCCCAGATGGGATGGGGGAGAGAATCAGAAGGGTAAAAGTGATAAAAAAAGTGAGAAAAAGACAGTTTAATAGGTAAAGCAAAAGCTGCACATGCAAGCAAAGCAAACCAAGGAATTCATTCACCACTTCCCATCGGCAGGCAGGTGTTCAGCCATCCCCAGGAAAGCAGGGCTCCATCACGCGTAACGGTTACTTGGGAAGACAAACGCCATCACTCCGAACGTCCCCCCCTCCTTCTTCTTCGCCCAGCCTTATATGCTGAGCATAACGTCATATGGCATGGAATAGCCCATTGGCCAGGTGAGCCAGCCGTCCCGGCCATCCTCCCTCCCAGCCCCCTGCGCACAGGAAAATGAAAAGTCCTTGGCTACTGTAAACACTACTTAGCAACAACTAAAACATCAGTGTGTTATCAACATTATTCTCATACTACATCCAAAACACAGCACTATACCAGTTAATAGGAAGAAAATCAACTCCATCCCAGCTGAAATCAGGACAGTATCCACCCCTTATTCCATACCATTTACATCATGCTCAGGTCCCACACTATCCAATACATTCTCATTACCCACCATCCCCCTTCCCATCCTTTGATCTAATACACAGATATCATTCCCTTAGTCTATGGACCACCCCTGTAAAATGTCTGTAAAATGTCCATAAATGTTCACAAAATGTCTACTGAGGTCATTTAGTCCATGACTTTGGGCTCCATCCGTTATGGTGGTCACTCAGGACAGGAGACGTGTTGTGTTGCGTGGAGTTACTGGCCACCAAAGCCGGCTCAGGTCAGGTCACTGCTGCACTTGCACTGCTTCTTGTAGGGCTTGTCCTCCACTGGTTCAGGTGGTTCCTGCTATAGTAATTCCTACAACATGCCACTCAAATCCCGGGTTACAACAATTTAACGGTATTTCATTACAATCTCCACCCCTCATCCCTTTGGACCAAACCATCGGGTTTAACACTGCAATGAACTCCTCCCCTGGCCTCTGCTCCGGCTTGGACTTATCCACAGACTGCAGTCTCTTAGGGGTGTACCTCCTCCAAGTGGAGCCTTATCTATGAGCAACAGTCTCTCCAGGGGTATAGCTGCTGAGGCATA